TCACCGCCGTTGAGTTGATTCCAACTTATAGCAACCCTATAGGACAGAGGAGAACCACCCTACGGGGTTTCCAAGAAGCGGCTGGTGGATTTGAACTGCCAACTTTTTGGTTAGCAGCAGAGCTCTTAACCACTGCACCAGCAGGGCTTCAATTCTGGAGGAGGACAGTAATATTTATTGAGCACTTAGCATGTGTAAGCTCCTGGATACACACTTTATTAGTAAGTACTATTACCACCTACACATATAGGGGGTCAGATACCTTAGGCCGGCTCATAGAGCTGGTTAATGGAAGAGCTGGGATGTGGTCAAGGCAGGCTGATCTACAGCCCAAGCTTTAACCGCCACTCCACACTGCCTCTCTTATATAGCAAGGATTGCCCCAGTGTTCTCAGGGGGACATCCCCCCGGCTTTTTCCATGACTTGTTTATTGGCAATGAAAAGTCTTGGATTAATTTACGACGCTCAACCTGAATGGTTCAGAGCACCGATGAGGTTTGGAAAATGTTTGCTGAGGAAAATAAAGGCCGCAAAAGGAAGCTGGAAAACGGTCCTCCTGCTGACAGGAGTTCTGAAGCCTACAGCCGACACTGTAATTGGAGGTCACAGTCCCAGTTCACCCTGGAGCGCTTGTTCTGGACTTGCAGTGTGTGTTTTGATGCCACAGTCCAAATGTGACACTGGGTGCAGGGCAGGTAATCACAGCCGTCACAGTAATGACACAGCGAAACCCCTGCCTCCAGACACGTAAGGTCCTGCAAAAATGACATGGCACACCTCCAGGCTGAGAGGCCAGACAGTGAGAAAGCGCCGGGGCCGCTGAGGGGACGTCCCGACTCTGATTTCGGTGTGAGCTCTTGCTGGCATGGATGTGTGTTTGGGCATTGGGAGGGAGCTGATGTATACAGATTAAAGTTCACAGTCAAATCCAAAGACTGACTCAATTTTGACTTTCGGGAGATGGCTATTAATCACTCATCTGTAATATCATTCCCTCTTATAAGATGGGAAACCAACCAACCAACACACAGCAGCTTTAACAAGCAGAGCAAGGTTACAATGTAAAGGATGGGATTCTACAGGTTAAAGGAAGGAAGGAGAACTGAGTTTGGCTTAAACTCCCAATACTCGCAAAGATGGCGCTGGCAAACCTCCTGGAAGGAGTGGCTTAGCAATGACACGCAGCCA